ATTTTAAAAGTGTCACTCAAACGACATCATCCTCATAAAACACGGCAAATTCCAAAGTTCAAAGGATATTTTAAAACCTCGGCCGAACGAACATTCAAAATTATTCCTTCCGTTATTTAAAAAAAATGCGGGCGCTCCGGTAAAGGTTGACATTTCTTTGTTTCGAAATCAAAAATAACCGAATTATAATTACGAGTGTCTTAAGCTGACACGCCCGATGACGCACCACTCGCTAATTTTGCTTTTTTTTTGTTATGACAAAATGTGTGTAACTAAAGGTGTTAAGGATCAGAGTTCTTCATGTATATTATAAGATTCGTTAGTTAATAAGTTACAAAGTAGTATTCTCTGCTATTCTATAAATTATGATCTGATTATATTTATAATCTGTCCATGTTCATGGTTTAGCTTTGCTTATTTTATCTTTTTTATCAGCTTACCCCAACGTGCTAAGCTAAGCCAGGATCTCTTCTTTCCTTACATCATTATAATTTTTTGTGCGATTTTTCTTAATTGTATGTTTTATATATATATTAACACAGCTTTTTAACTTCATCTATTGAAGTTAAAAAGGATTACTTTTAATATTTCAAATAATAATCAGTCATTTGACGTCAAGTACAAGTTTATTCAGGTGAAATCTAACAAACAGCAAATCGCTTTGTCTTCTTTCATTGCGGAAACGACGACGTCCTTGAAAATATATTTCCTGAACTACTCTTAGATGTATATTTATCTTTTAAATTGCAATATTTACAGTTAATATAATAAAATTAAAATTCTTAATGAAAAATGCTTAAAAAAGAAGAATTCTATGAAAATATTCGTTCTTTACCTCAAACAGCGAATAATTCATAACAGAGCTGCTTACTAAATACTTTACACAAGCTTAGATCAGATACATGAAAGTTGCAGCGGGGGTGCATTCAACCCAGACCCACCCTCAGGGGGAACTTTGCCAGCACCGGGGGGTGGCATAGCTTATGCATGTAAATATTTTAGTGTAGCTCAAAAGTGAAAGTCATTTCAGGTGTGTTACGGGTCCTTTATGCAAAGAGCAGGCACTTGTTCGTAATTAGCTTGTGTTGGTTAAATTAATGCTGTCTGGCGGCGTCGTGTGTTTGCACGGTGTCTGCTAGGTAACTCATATTAAACTCCTTTGTGGATTGTAACACGCTCCGATGTCTAGTAGCTACACAAACATGAACGCTGTACAAATACTCAAGTTCCCACATTCTACATCACTAGTTGATATTCCTTTTTTTTTCTTTAAATTTTTATTAAATGTAAGAAATATTTTTAGACCTCAGTAATATTTCAACTTTATGAATGTCTTCATTGCACGCTCAGCATTCCTACATCATCTTTATATTTATAATTGGGACGAATAGTAACTTTGTTTTGACCGCCTTAGATATTGATTTCAGCATTATTGATCTAGTTATTGTAGTTAGATAGAAGCCGATCCACATAATCACTTGTCGACTATTTAAACGACTATTCTTTTACTTTACTACATTTATAAATACCAGACTAATGCGACCTAAATTACAAATATTACAAGAATTTTGTGTCAGAATATGATTCTACTAATGTCCCAGTACAAATTGAACTCTACTGAAGGAGTTTGTGTACGAAAACATATAGGTTTATCTACACTAATAGAATTAGCTGTGACCAATATGAGTATTACCCGAATGTAAAGTTTATTTAAATTCAGAAACTAACGTTCGATAGACTCCAAAAGCTTGACTTTAAGAGTTAAAGATTGCCTTTAATGATTCAGAAACCCTTTCTTTATTCCAGCCTAGAATCCAGTCAATTGAATTAGTATTTAATTATGTTCCTTACTGAACTTACTGTCATGTTCACAAAATATTCGTTGCCTATATTACTTTCATAAACTGTGCCAATTAAAAGGCTCATAAATCGTTTTTTTTTTTACCAAAAATCTTGTATACCATTTACGTTTATGCTAGCCTTCTGTGTTAACTATATGTGTTCGAAGAATTCATTAAATTTATTATTAAGTTATTTCAATATATATAAACTTAATCTAAATATTAAAATATACAATCCATCTTCCAACAATATCGAATATTCTTTGAAAACCATATCTGCATATCGTTTGTCAAAAGTAATATCTTTATACGTATCACAATTTCCTTTTCTAAATCCGGTGTATTGTTGCAACGGCCACATTTTCCACAAAAAAAAAACAAATAAATAAAGATATTCAAGTATCTACAATACACCTCTACATATGAACACAGACTCGGGGGCAATATACAGTGCATCAACCCCCGACACTAGCCTTCCTGAAGCTACAAACTGCAAATGGTTACAGTATAGAAACATACAGCATAAAGTTCGTAATATGCTGGACTACCAAGTGGTGTACAGTGCAAACTAGTATACCGAACATTGACCCCCTGAAACTATACATTTCAGACTATATACAGCGCAGAGTTTGCATGCAGCCTTCCTGAATAATGCAAGCGAGCATCCGGCGGGGGCGGCACGAGAATTGCATCTAAAAATAATAGGAAATAAAAGAGAATGAGAAGAGGTTTTACTTTAATGAAAACAAAATTGAATTACTTTGTACACAGTAAGCTGTTTTGTGTTTTTAATTAAGGTACAGCAGAGAGCTGGTGTTTTTGATAATATTGTATTTGACGAAGATAACTAAACAAAGAATAGATAATTATTATATTTTTTGATTTCAAGTACTTACCGATCGACTAGTTGTTTTCATTTAATTATAAGTTTTTTGTTTACTATTGAGAGACTTAAATACATTCTCGTAATCTCATCCGATCGAATCAAATACTGTTTTGTCACGATACTTAAAAAAAGTATTAATACGGTCGTAAGCTTTGCGAGTGTTGACATTTGGGGCTAAACATTAACGACGGTGCTAATTCCACAGAATGTCACATAATCCACCACGGATACTCGTTTATAAGCAATGCGTGGGTGCGTCACGGTTATGTGGGTAGTCACACAATATCCCATATCTGACCTACCTCAAAGGACTATTTAGAGATCATTAAAACAAAATCAAAGTAAACTTCGCGAATATTTTGTTAACATCAAAATATATAATAATTTAACAAGCCTTAGAAATACCTTATTCTAATAATACCTTACTTACCTTATTACAGAGTCCCGAAAGACTTATACAAATAAATTTTATTAAATAAAAGTAGCTTTAGTAAATATCGCGTTTGAGATCTCCACCCAATAATGCTTATCAAGCACCGTTTATTACGTCTGCAAGTATATAAACTTGAAGTTAACGCCGCATGAAACGGAACGGGGCATGCAACATGGTCGCGTGCGCGTCGCTTCATGAAAATGAAAGCCATTTGCATAGAGCCGCTGGCCGCTATGGCCGCCGGTCCTCATGTGCCCAACCGTAAAGAGTTCACATTTCGTCTAGACACTTCGACCTGGAAACGAAAGGGAAAGCCCTCCGTCCCGCTCTATGCGTCAAACATGCGCAGTCCGGACCTGGCGGGGGAGACAACAGGTGGGTCCGTGAATTATTCAGGGAGGAGTGGGGGTCCAAGGTCGGCGCACGGAAGCGTCTGGCCGGGATGTATCAAGATTGTACATTACACATTATCGATCTAACGGTGATTCCCATGTAACTAACATACGATACTAACTAAATAACTAATTCACCGCAAACCTTTCCCAGTGAAACGTATTAAATTAGGAAATGCCTAATCTGAAAATTGACTCTTTCCTTATAGTTTACGCGGCAGATGTCAGCAGTTTTTCTGTAACACCTGTAAGTACAGTTACACAATAAAGCAGGCGTCTCTACTTCGCCACTATTGCCCTTACATTAGATCCGTGTAACCACGCGGAATAGATGACCTGGCCCAAGATAAATTACTCACTTCGGAATCGTTTCACACACAAATACACATGATAATGTCTCTCACTCACCTAGTTCTTTATATCTATAATAAACTAAATTGAACACTCCTTATTTAAATATTTTCTAAAAATATAAATGTCCTTCGTATAATCTCCTTCGATAACCTTGTAGCTTTCAAAGCTTAGCAAACTTTGAACTCTTCTGAACTTTATATTTCAATTTCACTTTTAATATGTGGTTATCATAAGTAAAATTTATATTTTTATTTATTATAGCGCATATAAAATTCCAACCCGTATTAGTTTATTATGTGAGTAAGAAATATAATTATTCTTGGGTCAATTTAGATCACTAACCAATATTATTGTGCATTACAAGTTAAAAACAAACTCTGTCTTAATAAATCGTTTAAAATAGAATCATCTTACATCACTCGGTCACCACAAAATATGTAGAACAAACCACAAACAAAGGAATTAACACGTTAAAAATAAATTTCTTTAGTATTTCATAGAACAATACAATCCAAGAGTATAAATTTCAGGTATTACATGTATCCTTATGACAATTGCACGTTAAATATACATACTCACTTAACATACCTTATACTACGCTTACCATAGTCGTGAGAATTTCAAGGCTTAAAGTATAATAGCAAAAATCTCGTTTGACACAATTAGAAAGATATGTTCATTTAATCATCATTATCATCATCAGCCCTTTTACGTCCCCCCTGCAGGGGCTCAGGCCTTCCTTATGGATGGTAAAGGAGGATGGGCCATGACCCTCCATGCTGGGCCAATGCGGATTGGAGGGTATTAACGACCAACGGCTTAACGTGCCTTCCGAAGCACGAAGTAGCTCGAGATAATAATTTTTTGGTCACCCATCCCGTGACCGACCCTTGCGAAAGTTGTTTAACAACAACGATCGCGGGCCGCGGCGCTTATCATTTCTTATATTTTTTAAATGTTAAACAATAATTAAAAGTGGTTGGTACAAAACTGGAGTAAATCGATCGATTTATTAGCAAGTAACATACTTCTAGTACGAGTCAGGAATTTCATTAATAATACAACGCGACTAATTTGATGTTTGCTTGTTGCAGTGGACGCCGGCGAGGCTGCTGGTCTGCGGCTGGGTCCTAGGGGCTCACTCGGGCAGGCTCTGCTGCACGGACTGCTGGCACCAGCCCCTCCATCACGCCACCACCTGTACACACCATCAAATAACACCGGTCAGTTTACTATAAATCTACAAGTTATTATTGTATCGTCTTATCCATAGTAATCAAACCAATTCTCGCATCTATGGTTATCGCACTCGATATAACTACGTGACAAGATGGTGGATACGTGCGTTGGCAGGTCTGTATTTTATTTATGATTACATAGATCTCTTCTTTTGATAACATCTATGAAATGGCTGTATCCCTTGACTTTAAATTTTGGACGTACAGACAGTTTATGCTTATAAAAATCACTTGGATGATTTTCTAAACCCTTTTCTCTATGATAATATAAATATAACATTTTTGATACGAAATTGATCAATTATAATGTATATGGCAGTTGCTAGGCGAGCATACTCCATCGTAATTTATTTCTAGCTCACCAAGAAATTTGTTGGTCATCAAAGGCTCGACGCTTATAACTATAGATTTTGTTACTTCTATATAACATTACTTTTGGTACAGATCGCTAATGAGAACCTTCTGAAACTTATTGATGATATGATTACCAAACAATTATTAGGTTATTTATAGATTGTTACCATAACAGTCCCTAGAATCATTAGATTTGCTTAAAATAAAATTTAATTCATCTTCCATTATTTGTAACGTTATGGATAATATTTTGTCCACTTTACGAAATTTGGGAGATAAAATCTATAATATTTACTATTAAAATTATTACTAGCCTTTATAACTTGAAAGCATAGCAAATGTTACCGATTATATTTAATTATGAGAGATATCGATAATATTAATCGGTTAAGATATTTCTACTAAATTATACTGCTATCGATGATTCTATAATATCACCATCACCATAAAATTTATACTAAAAATTCAAGTAAAAAGCTGTAATCCTCAACTTCACTGACTCGTATTATCTGGCTGCGAGGACTTAAGAGGGTCTGCCAACCCGCAGGTTACTACCTATGTTACGTAACTACCTGATAAATATTAAACACCACCTGAAACTAACGGCCCAGTGAGGCTTCAACCCGTTTTAGGGTTAATACTTTATAATTCCATTCCAAGCCACCGAACTGTATTTTACATTTACCTACTACTTATCTAAGCTACGGTTTCAAAATATACATTCATAAACAAATGACGATTGAAGAATATTAAATAAATAAAATAGCTATTAAAAGTTGCCGACATTAGCAACAATGTACTAAAACGAACGAGTTCTTATAATAAAGATGAGAAAAATATATATAAAACCATAGAGCGCTACACTAGCCAGTCGCCAACAGTTGCTTTTATTTATGACAGCAATTATAAATTAGACTTTACCGTATATTCCGTACATATTTTTAGTCCTGCCGACCGCAGAACTGCTCTTACTCCAATTAAACCAGTTTAAGTTTAGTTTAAATATGAATATTTTATCGGAGGTTAAACTTTATTCTGTTTGCTGATTAATTATATACGAGTATTATTAGATTTTCGCCTTTAATTTCGTATCAATTTGAAGGAGAATTGTATTCACGATGCCACACATGGGCTGCTTCTAAATAGGCCGGTCATGATTGCTTTCTAAATGAGGTAGCAAATTTCGATTAACCAGGCTTTGTTAATACGAAAAACTGTGTGAGTCAATCCTTTTTATTGTGAAACTACAGTCGGTTAGCATTAGCGTTCAAATGTTTGGTTAGCAACAGCCATTTGAAATCTGTCACACCGAAGCCGAGAAGCGCTGCTATGAAAAATTCATATAGAACAAAGAAGGAAGTAGGCACCGGCAATCGATAGCGTCAGCTGATCTGCCCGCCCAATGTCACGAACGCGACCGTCAAACCGCCCGCCCGGCCGCCCCCTGCTCGCCCCCACTACGCACACACGCACGCACTCACGTACACCCCCCACCGGCACAAACACACGCATGCCATTGCGTAATGTTCCTGTTCACGGCTCAAACACCCTTTTAACTACGCTGAAATGATTGTTATATAAGTATTTGAGAAGACTTGCAAATTTGCATAGATAATGAGAGTCAGTTGCTTCTTATTTTACTTTTGAAATTCCAACATTAGAGCTAATTTATTTAATTCACGTACCTCTAGTACATAATCGCACGTAATTCTGTACGCATGTATGTACACCCACGTTCGCGGTGCTTTATTTGAATATGAGCGTGTGTTCGATGGTCATTAATATTTTATTCAAGCTAGTCGACCCAAACTAGTGATTTATTATACAGTTCTGGAAATTAGGATAATTAATTTTACCTAAAGACTAAAAATGTCCTAACCCCAAGGTCGACATTCGTATTAATATTCTGTCATTTAATGTAATTCAATGCAACGTTAAAGAAATTCAGCGTTTGCAATCCATATTTTTGTTTGATCACCACCCCATGCCTCTTCAACTTTTACTCTTAACAAACCCTTTTGTGACACATGTGCGATTGCACAGATGTCCAGTCGCACGGGTCCTTTCTATTAAAATGTGCAATTCACTTCATTATCTGCATTAGCCCTGCGACGCACGTGGGTGTATTGTGTTGTCGTTTGCACAACCATAAATAATATTTATCCAAAGGGTTGATAGTTCTCATTATATACAATACGAATGAATGAGCAATTCATTGATTATGTCATTGTGCAATATTTATTTTAAAAACACGCAGATGTCATTAAAATTATTAGTATATATTGTCGCATTCTAGAAAAGTAACAAATCAAGTCATTATGCTTGGTTGAGCATTCAATCATGGAAATATTATTTCATAATTTATTTTTAACTTTACGTGCGATGACGTTAAAGATTGAATAGACTGGTAGTTTTTATTTGAAACATTTTATTGTTAATGGATATTACTACCGCAAATAGTGAAGGACTTCATATTATATTAGGTGCATATATTCGATGTGTATGTACATTCTATACATCGCGTCGGCACGTATCAAAGCACAACCCTTCGTCAACGACACCGGGTCAGTGGGACCATGCAACATCCTAAGCAAACAATACCGCAGATGCTTGCACACGTTGCACAGATTCCATCAAAACCCTATTTTTACGCAAAAATGGGTTGCGTTGCACCTTGCTCCACAGATTCGCTGCGTCACTCGTCACAACTATCGATAATCCCAACATTCGTCTCTTTCTGCTATTGAATTCGGCTCATCAGCTTTCCGAGCTATTGACACTTTAACATTACAATGTCACGCGTGGGTGCGCAAACGCAAGCCATTGTTGAGTATGGGTATTGTGTAAGAATCGAAATCGCAAATATTTTGGGGTTAATTATAACTACCGAAATATTTCCCTCCGCGTATAATATTTCTTTTGTGAACGCCCCACGTCCGGTTTGTAACAATATCGATCGAAACCGACTATATACATTTGCCTAACATACTATATCACTAAACTCTCGCCTCGCACGACTTACATAACGTCCACGCATTATCATCTTAAAGGAGATGAGTGACAAAGGAGCCGATTTCAAGGGACCCTCGAAAAATACTCGCTTCGATTTTTTTGGTAGCGTTGAAGTTGAATGATGTGAGTTGAATAAAAATGTTACATGAAAAATTCATTTATACTTTGAGAGATACTATGTTCTGACCAATTCATTTTTTACAAAGATAATTAAAATAACAAAATATTTATTGGTCAAGATATCAAAAATAAATACATAGCAAATTTAGTTCTGCAGAATAAGTTGTCTGTTACTCTGAAGGCAATCCAAATTAACAAATTGTTAACAGAGCTTTGAGTGATTTTGACACATTGGAATTATTCACTTTTTAGGGTGATTACGAGTTTAAGCTGTCTATTAAATTAGCTAACATGATCTACAGATAGGTAAATGGAGTAGATAGATAGAGTATACCTATGATAAGAATTTAAAAATACAACACATGGTGCAAAAGACTTAACAAGCCATATTATTTTTCTGCATAGAAAAAATATATTAATGTACCACACAGGTATATAAGCGGAATATTTTACAGCGTAAACAAAATTGAAATCATATTTTGTATTTATTATCATATAATTTATGTAGTAGGTCCACAATAGCATTCATATGCAAAATAAGATTGCGAAATCGATTCTAAGTCTCCATTCGCATGGATTATGGTCTAACGCCAACTGGACACAAAGAGTTGGACTGGACAGCGGTCAGTCTATAAAGATGGGCCGATTAAGGAAGGGTCTGTCAAACTTTTGTTCCTCATTGTGATATTTTACTAATGGGACCGCATTCCTCGCTGACCGGTAGACCTGATCCGGACCCTCGATGTCACGAGAACCCGTGAGTCATTATTTATAGTTAATTTATTATTATTTTGATACGCGGGATGAAAGGGTTGGCACAATGGAGCGAATTCCGTGTTCCTATCCGTTGGTCAGTCGACAGTCGCTCGGCAACATTGGGGTGCGGCATTTTTGTTTAATTTTAACCAGCTTGGGAATATGAATATGCAAAACATATTTTTTTAAACACCCAACAGACGAATCTGCGAAATCGGTTGACCAAATAAACTTTACGAAGCCAGAATCCGTTTGAACAGACGGAAAAATATCCTGTTATCATTGATCGAAATACGGCAGCATTTATTTATATCGATTAAAGTAACACTATGCTCAATAGACATGGTCAGCGGAGGCCGGGGTCGGCAAGGCCCGCGACGCTTCCCGGTTCCCAGCGCTTTGTGCCCGCTGAAGGGTTCACAATAAACACAATGGGGTGTGGACAGCGCATTATAGCTCGCACCGGTCAAATGGTCACTCATTTTAATACCAGTCATAGTTTCAATGGACGAGGAAATGTATGAATAAACAGCTTTCTTTCTTGCCTCCTAGTCATACGGACGATGTTGATTATATTATTTAAATGCCGGACAACCGTTATTCGTCAAAGTTTTTTATTAAAAGGGGCTGAACATGAGAAAGTTTGTCGTTTCCGAACGAACTTTTTCCAAGAAGCTGTCGTAGCGGTCATGTTATTTTGTAACGCAGTCGAAATAAACCACTTAACACACATACGAGTAATAATACTATTTAATTATGAATTGCAAATGAGTTGCACAATATAATAACATTAGATTACAAAAATACTCAACCCTAAATAACCGCTAACCTTTTATGGCCCGAGATGCACGAATCTGCATAATCATAAATTAATGTAATGCCACGGTTTTTGCATAACAAACACGTCCACTGACCATCCGAAATGCATTCCCACATGATAAAAACAGGTCGAATGCAAGTGCATCTTGATATTCGCCGCTTCTAACGGTGTTTCTCATCAAGCCATTGTCCGAGATGACCGTTTGGGCATTAAGGATTCGGATTAGCACATCTGCAGGGTTGCATGCAAATAGAATATGCAACTCGATGACCGTTAGACATCAGACAGTACAATAGGTGATGCTGAATTACTTTTTATGATCTCAACGGGTATGTCCCCTGGTATATTTATACTAGCATGTGTTTTATTCATTATTTAGTATTGTTGAACCTATGCAAATCACGTAAACAATGAATCTTAGTTTGATTAATCTCGGTTGCTATAGTTATCTCTTGCTATAGTCTACATTCCAAACGACCACGTACGTATTGTACGTGGTATTTAAGTATACATTTTCTTATTAATTAAATAGTTGCTTTACTGTTGATTAGATTATTTTTTTTTATATTTTAACACAATATTGTCAACGATTACTTTTCAGGGTTTAGGTACTTACATTCGTTAATTTATGTATTCATAAATATGTATGCTAAATGATTGATTATTATTTCAATATTTTTAGATATTTAAATAACAATAATAATAATTTTAAAAAATACCACACATTAACGATTCAATGCAATAGGTTATAAGTTTGATTTTTAATAATCAGAAAATTATTTATATAACAGTTACATTGTTTATATTCTCTTTTTCGGTATCATTGTATTCATCATAAATATTCTAATGATATGATTTATTTGTACTGTTCCACTTTGAAGTAAAAAAAAACTACATTCAATCTACACTTATAGTTATGAAAAATACCCCCCAATGTTTTATTACCAATAAATGCACAATTGTTTCATGGAGAAAACTACAGCTTTATATTTTAATGTTATGCCTATTGTTATATTGTATTTCACTGTCGTTTTCTGTTGTGCAGGATCTCTACCACCGTCTCCGGCGGATAGCGGCGTGTCAGACGTGGAGTCGTCATCATCAGGCGCCGGCTCAGCAGAGGAGTTGAAGGCGCGATTGCAGCCGCCCCCGGCGCCATTCCATGCGCCCTTCTTACCATTCTACCCCCACCACCAGATCGCCACCTCATTGCAGCAGCATGCGCATCCAAGGCCAGCAGGTCAGTACTCAAATAACTTATACTTAAAGCGAGTGATTGCTACAAGACTCGGGCTCTACTTAAGTCCTTTTCGTACATGCTCTCTTTTTAATGGGTAGTAGTATAACTGCAAATATTCATACTTATAATACTAGCAGCTCTTTAATGGACCTGCGAATTTAGAAATTTAAATTCTTTCAAATCTTCTGAGCTATATAAAAGTATTGCTTTGGTAACTAACTAATCTATATAGTGAATATAACCCATATTTAGAAATAATCTTTAGTGGAATAGTCTATTTAACAGGTGGAAATAATATTTGATATTTAAAACAAACAATTGAAACGAAAAGGCCTAATTTTTTTTATTAAACTATTATTAGTTCCACAAATATTATCTTTTTAGTATGACTAAGTAAATTATACAAAAACAAATTCTTACATGTACTATATACAATATTTAAATTATGCGAAATGTTGTTTTCAATTATCTTTTTTACAAGTTTAACATATATCATATATTTTTGGGGATATACTGATACATATTATATATTGTTTTATCTCTATAAATGAATCATGCATTTAAACGCTTGTGAAATGAACAAATACGAACATTTTCCTTATGACTTGTTAGAAAACGCACAGGATTGCACATCGTAAAAGAATTCTCCAGTTTGTCTGTTAGATGTAGATAATATAAGAGAATTATTCAACGTTTCTAATTTCTTAAATTAAAACCAGTAAATGTCATGAAACAATAAAAATAATCCGGTAAAAACAAAAATAAAGGAATGGCGGCATCTGTAGGTGACCCGGTGAACGACCAGTAGAAATGTCGTCTATCGTCAACCGAACTACATATTATATTAGATATGCAACTTTTATTAACTTCCCAGTCAATCTTCCACCCTCGGCCTTCAAATAAGCAGTAGGTACATCTCATATATGCTAAAGCACATGAATAAACAGACGTATTTCTTAAATCACCACTGTACACGGCTTCTGATTTTTTTTTAACATTAAAACAGGGTCATTATAATATATTTTTGTTATAATTTGAGTATCTTCACGTTTCACTTGTTACTTATTTCGTTAAAATAGATATAATACATGTTAACCAACCCCGCTCTACTTGTCTAAAGATAAACACCTACCATTTTAAATTGAAACTAATAAATATTATTTTTTGTTGAATGTAATATTACTATCAGTACACATTATCACTTTCAAGTGACAGAGAAGAGATATTATCTATATTTATGCAGCGCGAAGCTTTATCAGAACTTCCGGGGCACTGCAGCGTGGCCGTCTGCCAACTGGCTTTCTTTATAATTTTTAAATGTCCCGTTAAATACACAAATTACTCTTGAGCCCACTAATAATTTGTTACTATTTGCAAGAGAGATAAACACGTGACGTACCCATCTGTAAGACGTTCCATTTCATTCTTCGCTTTAAAAACAAGACGATTTATTTCAAGTGTCCTGGAATATCTTCGCGAATTTCTCTTGAACTATATACAGCATATACTTAAACAAATTAATATGTAGAGAGATGTTTTAATACGTATGACGAAACTTGCGAGAGAAAAACAATGCAGTCATCTATGCTTACGGAAAATCTTGCTGATTAACCGTGACTTATTGGCATTCGTACCTAAAGTTATGACTTGTAGAAATTGGCTCGATACAGCGGAACGCTAAAGCCGGACAGGTACCTGGAGGTTCCCGTGACATAAAAACAAAAAGTATGCGCGAAACCAGTTGGCAGGCCAGTGGCGCGCGGGCGCCGCCAACTTGGCTCCGACGCAGTCCTCAGCCATTTGACATTGCGCAAGGTCAGTGCTCCTAATATAAAGATGCAAAAAACTAGTGACGAGCGACGCATGCGCAACGCGTCCGCCGCCCGCCCCGCCGGTCGCCGCCGCCGCTGCCTGTCGCGCATGCGAAACGGCCACTTTCGATTGTGCTGCATTTTAATGTCACTCCCGGACCCTTTGTTTTTCAAACGGATAGACGAACTGATAAGAAATTCTAATAAGACTATTAACCAGAATACAATTCACCATAAACAACCGCGATTCAAATATTAAACCACCACAAAGGAAACCACGAGTATGTGACCTCATTCAACGGATCACTTCAACTTTGCAAAGATTCAAAATATGGTGGAACCGGTAGGCGCATTGCTGGCGTAACAACACACACGAAATTTCGGTGTTGCAAACGTGTGATTGGGCAAGAGCACGCCATTGTCAGGCTGGCGAAACCGCGGCCTTCCTCGCGGGCCACTCGAAACCTGATTGTGGGGGCACTGCTCGCCGGTTGCTCCATTGGATCACTGTGGGATATGTAGCCACAGGCTCTTTGTTCGCAATGACATGATTCGAGATGTCGCATAACATTAAACAGCCTGAGAAATCGGCATGTCATGTTAAATTAGTATCCAATTCACTCAGTCTACCCGTGAGATTTGAAGCGGAAATCCTTATAAGACGCTCGCTATTTCCGGACAAATCTGACGAAATAGTCATTTTTACAAACACGTAGACTAGTTAAATTAAGTGAGACAACCTTGAATGTTGCCAAATCGTCGGTGTAGGTAACACAAAGAGTTTGGATGTGCGTGCGAACATCTGCATGATGTTAAGCGGGGCGAACGGGTACCTACTGCCCGATGCGGGCGGTGGATTGATTTCTTTTGTGATGGGACGGCTTATATATTCCCTGTTTGCGGTTGCCCTCTGTACATTGTTAGGATACAATTCAACATGACTCGTGGTCGTGACCACGCTCAGATCTGCGGCGTGCAAACACGCGCGGCTGACTATCCGCATCCGTTTCCCCAGATTGCCGGATATTTATGTATACTTCATGTACTCAAGAATCTTCAATACCAATCAATATTTCGATATGGAAAGTAATGATACAAAAGCCAGTGAAGATCCTAAAAGTATTTTGTTTCCATTAAAATAAAATTTCTTCACTCCATCTAATAAATTCACTCATTATTATATTTGATAAATTTGCATTCGCCATGCTATAATGAAAAATATTCTAACAGTAGTTTTCCTTATATAATAAAACATTATACGCTTTCCACCAATCATCACCCAAATGAAAAGTGCTTAAAAATCCACACAAAGTGACATAAATTTAAAACATTTTTCTTTAATAATAAGTTCACTTATGTCTATATTTCTTAAAGGTTTACATTTATTCTAAACATTTTATCAACCGACATCGTTCCTTTAGAATTCATACAACAATTCTATAATAAGAAGACTGCAAAAATTGTTAAACTACAATCCCTTTGGATTTATTTTACATTACCATCAGTCGTTTAATTGCGTCATATTTCACATACACGGTTGCCAATGCATTTAAAAAAAAGACAATGGAAGACACAAACATGCCTCAGTTGCCACATAGTAAGTGACATTCGCACACGAAATGGAAATTAAAATGATCGGCGCGTCTATTCGGACGCATGCAACGCGGTGTGATGCGCGCGCGCAGGGTGATCGGCCGGTTTCAAGGGCACTGCAGCTCTAGCGCTCGTCTTGTATTAATAGTTGACTATTTTCGCCGCGGCTGCCGGGGGACCGGAACGTTATTATTGACTTTCGCGAACCACCAAAACGGACCGAGCTTACATCACAAGCGACGGCGATGACACGCGCCTTTCCTGTTTTTAAAGCGTCCCTTTGAAGTGGGAACGTTTTATGGCTGCTTAAACTCTTCCTCAAAAGAAAAACGTAAACAGATTAGAAAAATAAGTCGACCTGAAAACTTTTAGTGTTAGATTTATGCGACGTGGGTGATTCTCGTCGAATCGGGGTGAATCACGTCGATATAAACTGTTACCCACTTTTCATGATGCTTTTTGCAAGTCGGAGAATGTGGCGCGTTGTAGCGTAAGAGGTTGTATTGCAGTTAAGGTTTTCTCGGAATTCAACTTTCATTACGCATAAGTAAATTTAAAAATAAAGTTGGGCCCATTACTTACTTACATTATACGCTTGTTGAAAATATAAAATTTTACAAAATCGCTAAGTAGCTTCAAGAGTTGCATATGCGATGAGTTAATGATTTATGTCAACAACAAAGCCTCGGACATAAAGACAAACATTTCAAAAGTATGTTTATGCGTTAGCTCTGAAGCGTCGCCGTATAAGGAAGACGCGTCCCGCGCCATCTGTCGCACGAAACACTTGCGCAACACCGGCGACCCAGTTGCGCGCGCGGCCGCTGCCAAGCGCGCCTCTACTTCTCTACAATTACATATTTCGGTGTTGCAATCGTACGGTCGCATCCGAGTTGAACGGCCCGACCTTGAGCGTTGCGCAGCGCACGCGCCGAAAGCGAAAGGACCACGCTCCCAGGATCTGTCGTTCCATGAACGGGAACTATTAACGGCGTACGTGACCTAGGTCTCGTCCTACATAGCTCATTTTCAGGCAAACCGCAATAATCAACACTAGTTATAATGATTCATTGAAGAGTATACCGCTGTTCCGCCGTGCGTCACCTTCGCGTAGACCACTCGCGGTTACCCGCGTGCGCGCAGTTTCGCAACACGACGATGCGCGATATGGCGCAACCGCCGCCATCTTCCCGCTTCCGAAATACGCGCATAGTGCGAACGCGAGAAAAATTACCCACGACCTAATTCCGTCGAGCGCTCGTCCACCGCTCCACTTGTCCGGAAACCTCGCGTCTTTTACGATAGGCATAAAAAGGGGCGACGTAGTCGAGCCGGCCTACATACGCGCTCCACTGGTTTCCCGTTTTAAAATTACCCACTTGTTCGCGGCGGAGCGGCAAAAGGCTCGCCCTTCACGGGCCGCAGTCCCGGTCCTCAAATAGCCGCCCGATACTGCCGCAGCCGGGTCGATTATCGGCGAAGAGGAGATCACAGCTACTCACTATCCTTGTGTTTATGCGTCGCAGCTAACCGGGTCAGTGTTAGGCCACATAGCGCTGCATAAATAGCCGTCTCCCGCGCCTGCACTCGGCATGA